TTCACCGAGTGAACTTGGTGTAGAGCTATTCACCTTGAGGTCATCACAAAGGACAAGGGGGCACTCTATGTCTGGAGGAAAAGAGATTTAATCTCCAAACACGGGAAAGGTTTCTTCACAGTGAGAGCTGTGAAAATGTGTAATAGACTCCCTCAAGACTTGGTTCTGGCCAGCTCAGTAGATTGCTTTAAAAAAGGCCTGGATGCTTTCTTGGATACACAGAATATAACTGGGTACTAACATTTATAGGTAAAGTTGATCCAGGGAATATCCGATTGCCTCTCGGAGGATCAGGAAGGATTTTATTTCCCATCAGGAGCAAATTAGATCATGCTTTGCTGGGTTTTTTGCCTTCCTCTGGATCAACTGTGAGTGTAGGATTATAACTTTTTTTTTTTTTTTTAATGGTTGAACTGGATGGACTTTTGTCTTTTTTCAGCCAGACTATGTAACAATATAATGCAGAATCTGTCCTACCTTCAGATATGATGAAACTATAAATACAGCCAGAACATACCTGATTTTGAATTGATTTATTACAGGCAATTATTTAGTGCCAACAACTCAGTTCTTGCCCTCAAGGAGCTTACAGTTGAAGGCCCTTAACTCACACATACTAGGGCCAATTTAGACAGGATCCAATTAATCTACCAGCATGTCTTTGGAGTGTGGAAGGAAACCGGAGTACTCGGAGGAAACACACCCAGGTACAGGGAGAACATGCAAACTCCAGCCAGTAGTGCCATGGTTGGGTTTTAAATGACCACCCATAGTGCTGCAAGGCAGAAGTGATAAGCACTTAGCCGTTGTGCTGCCGGTAATATGTTATGTGCCATGGTGAGGTTGTGTAAAAGCCAAAATCCGTATTTACTAATGTAACACCTGCCTGCCCTCCAGGGGTGTGTAAGGTACCCCCAGAGACAGGGTGGGCTGACTTTTACCCCAGAGCTGAGTCCATGGCTGGTAATGGGGGATTGAGAAGCATCGGGCACCAGTTGCTTTAGTGTCTTTTTGAAGATTTTATTACAGAGGAGGTTAGGGGCCACAGATGCCTATGGCAGCACTTACAGACTCCAAATTTCCAGCTTGTACAGTGTTAAGGACCTTCAAGCTGACACCATCAATACCACCACGCTGCAACCACAGGCCCCCATTTACTTGAATGGGTCATGTTTAGTGGTGATACTGCCCACCGAATGCAACATTTGCCCTAGTTGTGGCATGTGTACAGCCTGAGTGACTTCAAGTTCTCCTTTAGGTAGGAAGACAGAGGGTGGTAAAACCATGGCTCATCTGCCTGTTTTTACCACTTTGTGCGCCACAGATGTCCTTATCAGTGACATAATCACTGCGCTATACAGAGCCTGTGCAGAGAACAGAGCCAAGGGAGGGACCCGGGAAGGTCAGCCGCTACAAACTGCCTGCGCAAAACTACAGGAGGGGTGGAGACCAGACCAGTCACCCTGCACAAAGAGAGAGAGTATCAATGAGCAGTCTTTATCACACCAAATGTCTAAATAGAGGCAAAGTACACCCTTTCTTTTTTTCATTTTTTTTTCTAGAAGAAATAAAAAAACTACCCCAAGATAAAACATTTTTTTTTTTTAGACCTGAGTTTATCTTAAATAACCTTAAATGTATACATACGTTTTCTCTTCAGGAGCTTTCTGAGGATGCCTGTGGGACGAAACACGTAGGGAAGGGACTTCTGTCTGCGCCATCATTTCCGGTTAAGTAGCTACTTCATATCCGGTGCATCTTCTGGTCTTTGGAACACACGCTGGCTTCAGGACTAGCAAAGCTGTGCCGTTCCCAAGAGAACATTACACTGCTGTTTATATTGGTGCTGCTTGTTGGCACAGACCTCCGGAAGATTTACCCCCCATCCTGACCAGACCATTGTTTGCTATTCAGCACTGTGTTACTTTAACTGACAATTGCGCAGTCACGCAATTCTGTACATAAAAAAAATGATGCCATCTTTTCCCACAAATAAAGTTTTTTTTGGTGGTATTTGATCATCACTGAGTTTTTATATTTTTTGCGCTATAAACAAAAACAGTCCTATAATTTTGGAAAAAAAAAATATTTTTGACTTTCTACTATAAAACATATCCAATAAAATAATTAGTAAAAAAAAACTCCCAATCAGCTTATATTGATTGGTTTATGCAAAAGTTAAAGCTTTTATAAACTATGATATATTACTGGAATTTTTATTTATGTATTTGTTTATTTCGTAATACTGGTAATATTGCTGAGGACAATCTGCCACTTTGTGGGAACCAGTGACACTAATACAGTGATCAGTGTTAAAAATGTGCACTGGGGTTTATTTACTAAATCTGGTTCACTCAGAATCTGGTGCAGCTGTGCATGGTAGCCAATCAGCTTCTAACCTCAGCTTGTTCAATTAAGCTTTAGTAATAAAACCTGGGAGCTGATTGGTTTCCATGCAGAAATGCACGAGATTCTGAGTGAACCAGCTTTAGTAAATAAACCCCACTATCACTGTTTCAATGACACTGGCTGGGAAGAGGTTAAACATTCAGGGCGATCAAAGGGTTACTGTGTGCCTAACCAGTATTTATGTGTACACAGTATGGTGTCATTACTAGGTAATGTGCTGGATTTTATTCCCTGCTTTGCAGGGAAACAAAATCCAGCACATCACAGCTAACAGGACACAGCTCTGCCTTGTTTACATAGGCAGAGCTGTGTTATGTCTCTCTCCTCGCCGATCAGCGTGTGCCAGTGTTCATCCATTGGTTGGTTTCTGCCGTGACTAATCACAGCAAAAGTGGTGCACTGGGAGCAGACGTATTGACACTTAGTGCTCGTAAATGAGACAAGCACACACTATAGAGGGATGTGCTTTGTTCATATTTCATGTCTGAGGTTTACCACCAAACTGATTGGGTTTAGAGCAGGGGCGGACTGACCATTTGAAAACTCGGGCACTGCCCGAGGGCCCCGGGGTCAGTAGGGGGCCCCATGAGATGCCCCTGGTACCTTTTTCATAGTCTTTTTTGAGTTTGGGCAAGGACACAGGGGTCCCATGATCCCTATTGCCCGGGGGCCCCATGAATTGTCAGTCCGCCCCTGGTTTAGAGGATGGCCATGGCAGCCTAATTATTCCCTTAATTGAAGGTTTTCTTTACCCTTGGTTCACATTAGTGCAGTTTTGCAGGCCACGGCATGGCAGGCCATTCATTTTGCCTTGCAGAACGCAGTGTTCTGTCTCTCCAATCTAAGCATTGAAAGTGTGATCTCTGTAACTTACAGTGTGTGATGAGATAGCAATAACTCCAATCTTAGTTGAATAACACAGGCAGTGACTCGATCAGATGACACCTTGTAGATCTTGTAAAGTTTATTCCATAAACTGAGAGAATCTTACAACAATGAACATCGGATAGGTCAAAAGATCATTATGTGATCTGCTTCATGACATGAGGCTTGAAGCTGAAATGCCTTACTGGGAAAAGGGGTGGGCTATCTATACAGCATGAACTAAACCAAGGGAAAGGTAGGAGCAGAGACAAAATACAAAGAACACTGAAAGGCATATGACAGTCATGTGAAACATGACACACAGAGAAAAGGTCCTTGCACCTTTCCAGAAATCGCAGCCCACACTGGGAACCGCACTACAGTGTGGTTTCCAGTGCAGCTGTGATTTCCAGTACGAACGGCGTGCCATTAAGATTAATGGCACCTGCCTGCGGGTCCCACGGGTGGTTGCAGCTGTGGGACAAAGTGGGGGTCCAGCAGCAGCTTCCACCCACACTTGTGTGAACCGAGGTTTAATATATGAACTATCCCATGAGCTGCATTGGTTTTCTAAATGCTGTAGATCAATTGTACATTTGATGGTTGGAGTGTATAAGGAAAGGAAAGACCCGCAGACAAACACCATAGCTAACTGAACAAGCACATAACAAAATGACCCTGTTACTTTTATTGTATTATTATACAATTTATACAGGATTTATATAGTGCAGAGCTTTACAATAAAGGGAAACAGTACCGTTGCAATGCAATTCAACACAAAAGGGTTAAGAGGGCCCTGGTCCTAAGAGCTTACAATCTAAAAGATAACATTTTAAAATGTTCACTTTTTTACTTTTATTTTTGTAGTCTCATGAAGCAGAGATATTAAAAAACGTGCCTACTTTTCCATCTGCCGACGTTGCACTTTCAGGTATGTTGTGTCTGAGCTGCACCTCTTCACACGATGACATAATATCCAGCAGCAGCTTTCAAGTTTTTTTCTCAGCTGAATCATGTAACATTGCTATGAAGTTTTTTACAGCTGATTTACAAGGTGAAAGGGTGCGTCTCACCCTAATATATATTATTATCCCTCTGTAATGGTTTTGTGCGCACAGCTCGCACATTAGGCCCAGGAGTAGATTGGTTGCACGTTGGTACACGAACGTTGCATTGGCAGAAGATGACATTTGACCTTGTGCTTTGATATTAATACCGATAATAGCTGCAGCTGTGTACTCTATTGTACTTACAGTGATAAGAACCTCTGTGAAGGGAACATTAAGAGCTTTTTGATCTCAGAAGCCTTGATGAAGAATGAGAACTTAGAGCATTTAGAAGCCAAACTTTTTTGTTTTTAGAAAGTCTGAAAGGGTTGTAGGTTATTATTGCGGAGAAGATGGAACCTCTCTGTTTGTCTTAGTGGACGTTGACATTGGAAAAGGCTAGATTCTCATATGTGCGGGTGGTGCCACTGCGGATCCGCACAAAAATCCACCCACACAGAAGAATGCGGACACGCAGGCGGGTGCCATTAATCCTAATGGCACGCCGGCCGCACTGGAAATTGAAACCGTACTTGGAACCAAGGTTCCCGTGCAGGCTGCGTTTTCAGAAGAAGTGCAGGGACTTCTTCCATGCGTGTCCCGGGGCACGGGAGTCTATTCAAATGAATGGGCTCCCATGCCCATGCAAAACCCGGCCCGCAGCAACGCGGATATGTGAACCATGGGTAAAGGATAGGAATTCCAAAATTGTGCTGTTGTCACCAGAACAGGGGCTGATGGGAAGGGTTCCAGGGACAACTGTGTAAGAGGGGAACTCTCCTCACTTTGATAAGGTTTCCACTTACTTCCTGACATGTCTCTAGTCCCAGGAAAGAGGAGTAACTGTCCCTTGAACAAAAGGCAGCCAATATAAAAAAATCTGACAGATGTTTTACCCCTTCTCTACTCTAAAGCTAGCATAAAGGTTTGGCTGTAGATACACTAAAAGAATGGTAAAATTAAAAAAAAGTCAAAGTTGAACTCCAGCAATGATATATTTTGCATACTCACACTGGGCCAGCTTGGCACAATGTAGGAATGCATACTTGATACCTGGTTGGCCTTTGTGGGAGTAGAAAATTACTGTAGTAGCTTGAGCTACTACAGTGATGGCCTCAATCTTTCAGGTGTCATGCTCAGCAGATGCCCTTCTGCATAGTAACCGCAGTGGGTGGCTTGCTCTTCATGGCTGCCATTCAGAGAACACCTTGTATTTTTCTTAATGAATACAAGGCATTCTCTGATTGGATGAAGTGGAAAGTTTGACGTCATCTCCCCACCTCTCCACCTTGTCCAATCAGAGAATGCTTTGCTTTCATTAAGAAAATGCAAAGTGTCCTCTGAATGGCACTTGTGTTGAGCAAATGACCCCCTGTGATTACTATGCAAGCAGGGCAGCCTTTTGGCAAAGGGCCTGACAATCACAGTATTAACAGTGCCTACTACAGTGATCTCCAGCTTCCTGGGGGATCAGCCAGGTATGGCCTACTTACAGTGGTCCAAGCTGGACCAATGGAAATACACAACATAATCCATACTGGAATTAAAGGATATGTATATCCAAAGCTATTTTAGCTAGACTTCTATGCATCACAGGAGTGCAGTTCGTTCTGCGCTCCTGTGACCCTTTCTCAGCCGACAGTGGACTAAACACAACATCTCTTTATTGGTCTTATCATATGATCAGTTTGAATTTCTCAGATTTATTACAATACATTTCTTCTTCAGACATTAGCAGGTCTTCTTCAACCAGTTCCCGACCACCCTATAGCAGAAATACTGCTACAGGCGGCGGCAGGGGTGCACAAAATGATGTATATATACTAGATTTTGCAGTTCTGGGTAGGGGCCTTGCGTGCGTGCCCTACCCGCGCCGTCATTCACGGCCTTGCCTGTCAGTCAGTTGCTGAGTATCTCCGACGGGGGAGTGACCTGTGTATAAAAAACACAGATCTCTCCCCTGTCAGCTCCTGCACACTGCTTTGTATGGCTCTGCATAGCACAGCCATACAAAGCAGTGTGCTTACAGTGAAGCACACACACAGCCCCCATAGTGAAACAGCACACAGTCAACCCTTTGATTGCCCCAGATGTTAACTCCTTCATGCCCAGTGCCATTAGTACAGTTTTTTTTTATTAGCACTGATCACTGTATTGGTGACACTGGGGATGTCAGTGACACCAAGTCAGTCCCCCCACCCAGTGTCAGAATGCCCGCTGAAGTCCCGCTATAAGTCGCTGATTGCTGCTATTAAAAAATAAAAATTCCATTATATATACCACCATTTGTAAATGCTATAACTTTCATTAATTAATTTACACGTATTGGCAGAATACATTTTGGCCTACATTTATGACAAAATTAGAGTTTTTACATTTTTTTTACTGGACATGTTTAATAGCAAAAAGTCAAAAATATAGTTTTTTTCTCAAAATTGTCAGTCTTTTTTTGTTTTATAGCGCAAAAAAAAAAAAAATAAAAACGCACAGGCAATCAAACACCACGAAAAAAAGCTCTATTTGTGGAAAAAAATGGACCTAAATTTAATTTGGGTGCAGCGTTGCATGACTGTGCAATTGTCAGTTAAAATAACGCAGCACTATATCGCAAAAAATGTCCTGGTCAGGAAGGGGGGTAAATCCTCTGGAGAGCAAGTGGTTAAAGTGAAGCCAACACGTTTAGAAGAAATTTGATTCATACTTTTTTGTTGCTGCCTGGGATATCAGGTCAGAACAATCTCTCCAACAGGGACACAGACAGCAGTATACGCACTTTGCGATAGTGTGGAAGGGTTAGATCCCTTGCTAGTATTTTATTGCTGTCTGTGTCCCCATTGGGGAGATTTCTTCTCCTTTTTTTTCCAGTTAGCACACAGAAACAAGGGGAATCTGCCCATTAGGCACATGGTATTATTCTGAGTGTAAATAATAGTTTTATTTAATTGTTTATTTATAGAAAATAAAACTCTGCTCAATGGTGGATATAATTATGTTCTTACTGGTACTTTGGTTAATCCTCAGCAGAGACAAACCGATCAATGATGTAGACTCTCCATACACATTGATGTGGAGTTTTCACATCCTAAGATTTTGATCAATAAGTTTTTGCTGTCAGGCAGATGTTCAGCTCACCGTCATCTTGGCTGCTTGGCAGATGGCTCTCTCTCACCTTTCAACATCTTAGTATGAATATAGATTAGACAGGCACTCCGAAAATGAGCCGTACTGTAATATCAGCCATTCATTTAAACATTTCAAAGTGTGAAGGATTGTCTTCATAAGATTAGGCTGGATTTGGACAGGTTATTTAATGAATAGATTTTATCCGTGTTTTGATAAATGTAAGGTCTGTGACACTAATGCTAATGAAAAATGGGATTTCCTGTACATTTAATAGTTTACTGCAGACAAACATGGGAATTGCACATTCATAGACACAGCTTGTCTTGTGATTGGCTGTAATTTACATCTGTCAGTTGACTGTCAAATTCACAAAATCTGGCAATACACAGCTCAAATTTTGACACAATTCCTGTGAACAGGGGCAGACTGACCCATTTGGAAACTTGGGCACTGCCCGAGGGCCTGGGGCCAGTAGGGGGCCCCATGAGATGCCCCTGGTACCTTTTTCATAGGCTTTTTTGAGTTTGGGCAAGGACACAGGGGCCCCATGATCCCCTGCCTGTGAATCATCTAAAGCAGGGGTGTCAAACTCCATTTCATCATGGGCCATATCAGCATTATATTGCCCTCAAAGGGCCGGTTGTATCTGTAAGACTAGATATCCAAAGCACCCCCCCCCATTACATCAGATGTCAAGAATCCCACACCCTCCCTAACATCACCGTGCATCCTCTTTGGGGGCAGATTTGGAAAGCAGGGTCTGGAGGAGGACCAGAGGAGGAGTAGAGTCAGTTAGCAAAGTCTGCTGAATGCTGAGACCAGGGGAGGCAGAGATGAGGGGGTGCTGCAGCTGCACTGAGAGGTGCAGGATCTGGTGGAGGATTTCTGTCCTCCTCTCTGCTGCCGACTGCTGAGACAAGGTGGAAGGTGGGGGCGGAGACAAGAGGGTACCTTCAGGAGAGGTGCAAGGGCCACATGAAATGGCCTGGAGAGCCGAATTTGGCCTGCGGGCCTTGTGTTTGACACCTGTGATATAAAGTGTGAGCCATGGGTGGCCCTGTCAATACCACTGGCTCGATCAACTTTTATTTAAAGGATAAGTTCACCTTTTGGACAAAAATAATAAATGCACATTTTTTTTGCAGGTAAAAATATGTCCATTTATTATTTTTGTCCAGAGAAGAAGCCTGGAAAGCAGTGCACCAGCAATCAGTAGACCGCTGATGCCATGCAGGTCTCCTGCAGACCTGTCAGAATAGCTGTTTGGCGTATGGGATGTATGGGGAAGCAGATATTCTTGTTAATCTAGTACATCTAAACCTGCCAGTCCATCTAACCCTCTCCTCTGACTGACAATGCTTGTGACCAGGGATGACTCAGTTGCTCCTCGATCCAGAGTGGAGACACCCTAAGACAGGAAGTGTCCTATTGGCCGAATCCCCAGGTAAAAATTAAGGAAATTAAGCCTAAAAAAAAGAAAACTAATGCAGCCACCACATTTAAGGATTGGTAAGTTGCAACATATACATTTTTGGTTTTGGGCTTAATACCATTTTAATTATGCAGCTGAGGACAAGGAAGGTGGGTTAGATCACCCTTCCAATATTTTATCAAAGAAAGATGCTGACATTATTATTGAGTTTTATAACTATTTCAAATGCCATTTGTGCTAGTGTGCTTTACAGAGCATGTTGCTATATGATAGTTATCATACCAATTTTTCTGAATATACACATACGGTACACCGCAGAGCAGAAGTTCCTATCCTGTATTATTCTGTATAATGTAATCTCCAGTATTTGATGTATGATGCATATCGGTTGTTTTCCCACTTTCCTTCCCCTCTGGTTATTTGCAGATATACATATATACAGTTATTGCTTGTGGGACTGTGGAAATCTGTCATTTTTCAATCACCTGAATACATTATATCAGTTTCTGTGAATCCGGAAATATCACTTATCCAGTAGTGACAGGTGAAGAGTAAACCCGGGGAAAGTGAAAGAGAAAAATGTTCATTTTTGTAAATTAGATAGAAGCAATGTAGTCTATTGGAAAAAATAAACTTGTGTGAAAAAAACAAATACAAGTGTGATATTTCCTGAAATCTTCTAGATAGGAGTTCACACATGAGAGATTTTTCATAGGCTCAAGACTGATGCATGACCACAAGTGCATTTACTTTAAATCATACCAAAAATAAGGTAATAATTTATATATTTACCTTGAAGCTGATCACCCACTCTACATATATCAGCCATAACATTATGGCCATTGAATACTGATTTTCTCATTACAATGGTATCCGAAATGCAGTGGAATATATTAGGAAGCAAGTAAACATGTTGTCCCTGAAGTTGATGTGTTGAAAGCAGAAAAAATGTGCATTGCAATTCGTTATGTATGGGGCTATGTAGCCGCAGAGCAGTCAGGGTGCCCATGCTGACCCAAGTCCACAGCCAAAAGTGCCTACAATGAGCAAATGGGCATCAGAACTGGACCATGGAGCCCTGGAAGAAGGTGACCTGGTCTGATGAATCACATTTTCTTTTACATCATGTGGATGGCAAGGTGCGTAAGCGTTGCTTACCTAGGTAGGAGATGGCACCAAGATGCAGTATGGGAAGAAGGCAAGCCGACAGAGGCAATATGAAGCTTTGGGCAATATTTTGCTGGGAAACTTTGGGTCCTACCATTGATGTGGATGTTACTTTTACAGGTACCACC